CTGAGCCAAACTTGTTTGTTGCCTAACTCGCATTCACGTCTGAACGTGGTATCTTTGAATTGCACACCTGGTGTAATCAATTCTGAGTAAAACACTGCGCCGCAAGATCCCTTTTTGAAAACAAAGTTCCACTTCCCCGAGATGGTGACTCAAACTATGAGTAAATAAAGTGACTTATGGTAGCCAGAAGTGATGATAAAAACTAAGTTTATGCGAGAAATGTAGTAATCCAACCAATGTATGAATACATCGCTGACAAAGTAACAACAGTACACAGGTTGATATGTCAACTTTATGGCTAGTCAGCCAGCTACATAATGTATTCTAAGTTAACGCTGCACCCTCCACACTTATACCGAAGAATCAACACAAGCTGTTGACATACATACATTTACTCGCTGGACAATTTCCTCCCTGACATATGTAAGAACATCGAAACAGCAGTTTCTCACTGTAACACCATTGCTAGCTATCCAAGCCAGCAAAACACCACTACTATTTTCCTAAAACAACACTGCCAGTTTCACGTAGAAACAACCTACACATCACACTTGTGCCAAGTCAGACAACAGGCGTTTTTATTAAAACGTTGGTATCTCAAATCATGAATGTATGTCAGGTGTCTTGGACGTCAATACAAAATCCCTGTAGATAATTAATTAGGCATATATATAGCTAACCTCAACACTGGTTCACTAGTTACTAGCCGATCCTATGCACAGATAAAGAGGGAAGGTTCGGAACACGGCTAGCAACCCTACCCCGGAAAACCAATCCAACCATTATATAAACTTCAAAGCACAAATAAAATATAAACAATAAAAACAAAGTTATTCCTCACTGGAATCAGAGAGGAGAAATGACGCTGGCTGGTGAAAGCCTTCGGGAAGCCAATTGGCTGATGTGTTTTCTCTTCTCTCGATGAAAGCCAAAGTAAACATGGGGACATCGAGTGTCCACACCATGTTTGAACCTAGCCAGGCTGCCCACATTGCAAAAGAGATAAGAAGGTACAACAGAGATAGAAGTGCTAGGAATCTGCGAAACCAGATGGAATGGAAGTGGACTCTCCAAACTGTCAACTGAAGAGTCAATAATCTACTCCAATATTGTCACCCGAATGACAACCACAAGCACACTGAGTTTCCGAGTGACTATCATGCTGTCCCCAACAGCATCGAAGGCTGTCTGTCATACAGTGGGAGCCAATCTCCTCCACGATCAGGATCATGACAGCAAGGATCAACTCAAAAGGAAGGAACTTCACGATCATACAATGCTACGCTACGCTACGCACCTACAAATAATGCAGACCAAGGGAAGGAGGAGGAATGCTACAGACAACTGCAATCAACACTGGACAAGACTTCAGATGGCGACATCAAAATTCTTGTGGGTGGGGTGACATGAATGCCACATTGGGAGCGGAAAACACAGGAAGAGAACTAACCATGGGTCGAGAAGCGCTCGGTGAGGTGATGAACGAGAATGGAAAATTGTTTGCAGAATTCTGTGCATTCAACGATTTGGTGATTGGAGACACTGTGTTCAAGCGCAAGGACATCTACAAAGCGACATGGATTTCACTAGACACCAGGACACACTACACTAAAAATCAGATCGACTTCATCTCAATGTGAATAAGGTAGAGACGCAGCCTACTTGACACAAGATCGAGAAGGGGAGCAGATGTAGGTTCACACCACTCACACCAATGTCTAGTGCAAGGAACCCACCTTCAAAATCAAGTTGAAAGCCTTCACAGAAGTTGGTGATAAACGACCACAGTTCAAGTTCAACACCCAGAACAGAAACTGAAAGACCAAACTACAAGGGACATCCTCACATCAGCCATCAAGACAAAATGAGAGATATCGAGCAACATCTCTGAAGAAACCTGTGTGGATGAACACTGGAACTGTTTGAAAGAGATGTGGAAAGAAACCTGCATAACCGTATTAGGAGGGAAGAAGGAAGAAGATAAGGAATGGATCTCCACGGATACATGGAAGCTGATAGACCAGGGAGAGGAAGATGGTGAAGCAGGAAATGAACAAGTGCAGTGTATGGATGAACAACGTAAAGAGGAACTGAACACAACCTATAAAATACTACACTGGACAAAGAAGTGACGAAGAGTGCACGCAAAGACAAAAGATACTTCTACGAAACACTGGCAAGTGAAGCAGAACAGGCTGCACGTGAGAGAGATAGAAACCTGACAACATTGTATCAAATAACCAGATTACTATCTGGGATGGAAGAGATCAACACACATGAAACCAATAAGAGATGATGAAGGAGATCTAATTACCAAAGAAGAGAAACAAAGGAAACGATGTGCTGACCACTTCAAAAAGCTCTTAAATCGACCACCACCTGCACTTCGTCCAGAAATACCACCAGCAGCCCAGCCACACAACTATCAGTGAATACAAACCCTCCGACAAAAGCAGAAGTCCTGAACACAATAAAGTTGCTGAAATGCGGGAAAGCAGCAGGACCAGATGGAGTTCCTCCAGGAGCGCTGAGAGCGGACTCAGGGACAACAGTAGCGGACATGCTCACACCACTATCGCACAAGGTTTGGAAGGAAGGAGGGAAGGGAAGGTACCTGGACCTGGCGATTGGAAGAAGGGCTACCTTGTCAAACTCCCAAAGAAGGAAGGTCTAAGTCTTTGCAAGAGCTGGCGTGGAATCATGCTGCTGTCCCCACCCTCCCCAAACAAAATATTAAGCCGCATCATCCTGGAGAGACTAAAAAATGATCTGGATTTAAAACTACGACCGGAGCAGGCTGGCTTCAGGACGAAAAATCATGTGCGGACCGAAATGCAACGCCACGCATCATCATAGAACAGAATGGCAGTCGACTCTCTACTTCAACTTCATCGATTTTGAAAAGGTCTTCGACAGCGTCGACCGAGAATTAATTTGATAGGCAGCTACTTCAACACTACGGAGTGCTACAAACCTTTATCAACCTCATTCAACAGCTATATGAAGACGCCACATGCCAGCGACGCCTTTGAAGTGAAGACAGGAGTAAAACAAGTCTGTCTTCTATCACCCATCATATTTCTGATTGTCGTCGACTGAACTGGATCATGCAGCAAACAGTGAGGAGCGAGAAGAGGGCTATACGATGGCTGGATCGATGAAAACACCCCAGAAAAACATTTGGATTTCGCCGATGATTCATGTCTAGTGTCTTGTGGCACAAACTCGAAGATCTACAGGCGAAAACCAACAAGTTGACAGAAGAGGCGAGGCAGCGAAGATAGGACTTCAAGTGAATGTAGAGAAGACAGAGGTGATGAAGATACCCAACCAACAACAACAAACACCAATCACCATCAATGGGAGAAACCTAAAGGAAATTGTCTCTTTCACCTACCCACCTACCTAGGCAGGATCGTTTCAACTACCAGACGGTGGTGGCGGCACAGATGAGGATGACAAAGCCAGGGTCGGAAAAGCAAGACAGGCCTTCATTAACCTGAAACCAGTGTGATTTTCTGCACTCGGCATGTAAAACAAGATCCATATTTTCAACGGTAATGTCAAGTCAGTGTTTCTATTTGGTTCAGAGAGTTGGCGCGTTACGAAAAGCATTTACAACAAACTACAGACATACATGAACAGTTGCCGCCTACGCCCAGTCGATACTGAAGCTCAGATGGCCAGAATAACAAGAATAAGCAACAAGGAACTGTGGCTGGAAACGAACCAACGAAGAACCCATTGCGCAGCTTATATGCAGAAGAAGGTGGAAATGGACCGGGATGTTTGGGGACATCACGCACCGGGCTTTCGAGTGGAATTCAAGGGGAAAACGACGAGTTGAACACCCTAGGGTGACATGGAGGAGACCGTACGATGAAGAAATGAAAGCTCCTGAACAGTGGTGGAGCCAGCCTTAAAAACTGCAGAAAACAGAGGGAAACTGCGACGTGCTACTCTGCAGTCGTATGTTCCACTAGGAAGCGAAAGGACAAATAAATAACAATATATACATGCTAGCGTTTAATAGAATACCAGATATCAGCTCGAAATATGATCATGGAGAGTTTGTTAGAGAATTGTGGAAGACGAATATTCGACCAGAGAATAGAAAAGACGTACGAATTCACAGCCTCGTGAAGTTGGAACGAACTGAAAAGGTGTGAACATCAGCCTTGATATTCTACTGTATTAAGCTTAGGCAGTATTCGATTGACTTATTCGTAAGTCCATTTTGAATACGAGGTCTCAGCTGTACACGAACTTAAATCGAAATGCACTCAGGCACCAGGCGAATGCTAATGGAGTGGATAACGAACTTTTGTTTGAGGGCTAACAATACCATGTAGCTGCTCAGAGAATGGCTGGTACCGGTGACCCGTCGGTTCGAAACTGAATACCTAGACCGGATCACGGCTTCACCAGTATTAGTCAGCTGTGGTCGAGTGACCGACCATACTTTCGCATTTGACCTCCGTCTCTGCTTCGACGCTCCCTTAGACAGACTGATTTCAACATATGCTAAATATGTTTAACGTAGTCAGCCTATCCAGTGTGAAAAGTCCCTGGGACATTCCAGAACCTGTTGAACGAAGTATAGGTTGCATACCATGCCCCTTATGATATATATACGTGAATTATTTTAAAGTCGGTATGCGAATTCAGTTTCCTCTGATCACTACTTTAACGTGAACGTTTTATAACTATGTTCGCTGATATTCTGTGTCAACTGCAGCAGTAGATCCCGAACATTTTCATCGTCTCATGATTATTTTTCCACTCTACGGTCTAATTTGAAATAAGGGTGACCTGATCACATGTAATAGCTTATCAGGTTAAACGCCTTTAGCTTTATCATATTTAGCCTGTCAGAATTTTTAAAAGTGAAGACAGTTGAACATTATGCTACTACTAATACTACACAAACAGAGAGCTATTATTTTACTTCTAAAAGTATCTTACCAAGTTCGGAGAAAACTTGTTCAGTTACCTGAAAGGGACAATCGAAATGGTTAACACATTTATTGAAGTTGATATGTCAAAGTACTTTTGGTCAAAAATTTTCCGGATGCCCTTCATTGCATCTACAAAACTTTCCTCTTGACGGCTTCTATGAGATTTTTGTTTCAATTCCAGTCCATATTTCACAAAATAATGATCGTCACTCACTTTTAGGACAAACAGTTCAGGAACTTTACGTACTAATAGCAATCGTTCGAGCAGAATGTAGACGCATGTATACCAATGGCTTTTGTCTTGTGACTGCAAATACGTATACCAAAGAGGTTAGGTATTGAATAAAAAGACAGTGCATAACATAAAGGTCTATCAAGAAGAGTAGACTAAACATTTACTTCATGGTGCTTTATTCAAATATTTTTGAATGAATAAGCCGTCAGAAGGTAATAGACAATTTTTCAGAAAAAGTCTAGTGTTCTCATGATTGTTTTACTGATATCATCTACCAAAAGGAAACGAATATCACAATACTGGGAACAAAACTTAAAAGGTTGCTTTAGAACACACTTGCACCACATTACCAGTTATCCACATATTGAAAATACTGAACACTTTTATTCAATAGAGATGAAAAGCAAGATAACAGAACGGTACAAACCATTTTGTGAAGTCCGATATATACATTTCTATATTAAAAAGTACATCTCACGTCGAACTTGCAATTTAGGACATTCAAAAATGATCGTTTTAGTTCGGTAATATCGATGATAATTGTGACTTTTGTGAACTTGTGAGTTGATCTGGGAAAACAATATGAAACTCAACTATCATGTCACCTAAACGACTGGGTTCTTTTAAAAATGGAAGACCTTGGTGTGGAATACGCCGAATGGTTCCCGGTTTGATAATTTCATTCAATGGTAGGTTGATTTGGCCTTCATCAATAGTAGGTATTGGGATGATACCACCACAAAGTGCTTGTTTCAAGCTAATTTTAGCGACATAACGTACATCACTGCCTTCACGCTTGAAATGTTTATGCGTTCGATCTTTAACAACAAAAATCACGTCAGCCGGAATGTTGCCT